TTTTTTTTTTTTTTTTACCCAGAAGGAGGTTGTGATGAATGGGTGGGATGTTGCTGATTGCTGGGTCAGAGAGAGATCGTGAAGCCAACGCTGGACTTGGTGAAATGGCAGGGGCAGTGATGCTAAGGGAGGAGAGAGGACCCCAAGTGGGTGGGAGATGGAGAGCTGGACAGGTCTCAGGGTTGGAAGGCTGTCAGGTGCTGACAGTCGCTGCTTGGCTGAACACTGCTCAGATTTTGGAAACTTCCAGGCCCATCTGACCACTTTCTGTGAAATCCAGCACTGGCAGGAGCCCTTCAAGTCAGTCCAGCCAGAGCCCCCACCAGGGTATGTGAGCCTCTTGTAGTATCTGAGGGCTCCTCATTCCCCCATATGTCTAGGTCCATAGAACCAGGTCACCCTGGCCCACTTGCAGCAAGAATCCTATTGGGCTGAACCCCCTATTTGGGTTGAGCCCAAAACCCCCTCCCCTGACGTCTACTCTTAATCACTTTCTGTCACGAGCCTACTTACCCCTTATCTCTCAGATACCAGTGGCCTCTGCCATGTTTGGGGTTGAGCCCAGGCTCCCATCCCCACCACAAGGCCTTACTGCCATGGGCCCTGTACCTACCCAAGGGTCCTGACCAGAGTCTTCCTTATCATGACTGAACAGGGATCACCGAGTAATTTTTCCCTCAACACTAGAGATAGGGCGAGGCAGGGGGAAGAGGCTACGTGGACAAACAGAGACTTGACACAAAGAGGCTGGAGCAAACCCACTTTATTCTACACCAAGCCTGGCCCACACACTGGGCAGGTCAGACTCACAGTCGAAGGCTGAAGATTTCAAAGGCTGAATAACTGCTTCTGGAACTGGGCCCCTCTAGTGAGGCCGTTATCCCTGAAACCTTCTGTTCAGGGATGCATCTGAATACTTGTCCACAACTATGGTACATTTCCTGGACCTTTCACTTCTGCCTACCCTGTGCTGAGTTTTTGTCAACTGGACTAATTAATCTACACACAAGGATGATACAGGCAACTGTGCTACTGCTACGGCACAAGTTTTGCAAAATTCACCTAACAGAGGAAACATGAAGTGAGAAAAAGCCAAGGATACAATGAAAGATGTTTTTAAAAGATGAGACACCAGGGTGGGCCTGGAGCCACAGCAGGGAGCTGCCACGCTTACCCAGGAAAGAGGGTCTCTCTCTTCTACAAGAGATGGGCGGGGCTAGGGAAGGTTCCTGAGGAGCCAAGGTGGGGGGAAGGGGGCACAGAGCTGTGAGGATAAAGCCCAATGGGGCACAACCCAACTCCAAGAAGGGGAGGGACTCCTCTCTCAGGAAGTGTCAAGACGCTGTACTTTCTCTTCTGGAAGAGCCAGGCTCCAACCATAGCCCAGGGTCCACTATGTGGGTGCTCTTTCCTAAACGCCACCACCAAACCCAAACCACACCATAATCCTCCTCAGGTACCTGTGAGGGATCTGCAGGCCAGGGAACACTGGCAAATCTGGAAGGTGCAGGGTCTGGTTCCTTTGACACCAAAGTGACATCCCAGTGCACAAGCATCAAGGCCACTGTGTGACCAGGGAAGGATGTGGCCCAGAGGAGCGGGCAAGCCTCTGATGGAGGAACAAGCTGCGACCAGAGCTTGGGAAGAGCGGGGTCCGGGGGGGAGTGTCCCTGTGACCAGTCTCTACCAGGAAATGCTTACAGCCCCGAAACATCCATGCCTCAAGGAGATGGGAGAACAACACAGTGTGAAAACATGTAGACACGGGGTGAAAACATGTAACTATATGGGACAACCACAGGCGGGGCACCCGTGATGCTTCCCCCAGGTCTATGCTGACGGTTCCTACGGAGGTGAGGATCCGGCCCTTCTGCCTCCAGCTCCGGGACCACCTGCTGATCAGCGCCATCACTACATGGGAGGAAAGAGAAAAGAAGATGGAAAGACAGAGTGAGACAAAGTATGAGACCAAGAGAGAGGGAGATCAAGAGAGAGAGAAAGAGACAGACACAGAAATCCAGAAAGACAAAGAGATACAGAGACAGAGAGACACCGAGAGACGGGGAGGGGAGGGGGAGGGGAAGAGACACACCTACTTTTCTGGGTACAACAACCCCAGGACCCAGAGAATGTGATGTCACTACCTATAGCTATAGCAAGCCCCAGAACTCTGTCCCTCCAGGGCCAAAACTCTGTTACCTAGAGATATACAGGCACCTGAAGTGCTCAGAGCTGACTCATGAACACTGCTAGAGGTGAGATACCTACTCAGACAGGGAAGTGCTGGTACAGGCACCCAGATTCGGGTGCAGAGCCCCCAGGGTGCAGCTGTGGGCCCAAAGGTTTGGGCCAGGCCTGGGCAGAGGATGAGAGGCAGATACCCCCGGTCCTCCTGCCTCAGGGCCCCAGAGCCCACACTTAGTGTGTAAACAACTCTCCTGTGTGAATGCTGGGAACAACCTCGAACCCTGCTCTACTTAAATGGCATTAAGTCACCTTCCTTAAGCAGTGACTCTCCTGAAATGCAGCCCCAGAAGGTCCAGCATGCAGGACTTTAGCTGTGCTTCGGTAAACAACCTCCCTCACAGGCTCTTCTGCCTCAGGGAGACCCACCCACATGCCTCTTACAACTCAGGGAGCCCCCACCCACCCACTGGCCTTAATCATGGGCTCCCCACTGCTCTTCCACCTTGGGAGCCTCCCACCAGCCCCATGGCCCCGCCCATGGGCTTCTGCTTGCTCCTCCACATCAGGGAGTCACTCACCACCTGCTCGCCCCACCCATGGGCTCCCGACTGTTCCTCCACCTCAGGGGGCCCCTTATCCACCTAATGCACCCACCCCCTTCATGCACCTGAAGCAGCATGCTGAGGCCCAGGTTGCGGTGCTTCCTCTCCAGCTCCGACAAGGCCCGCAGCAGTGAGCGGAAGCGCTCGGCTGGGTCAGCCTGCTCGTCGTCCGGGATACCCTCCTCCCTGCCAGCCTCCTGCAGGAAGTGCTCTTCCTCCTCCGCAAAGAAGGCACGCAGCTTCTTGTAGTCAGTCAGTGCCTTCTTCCTGCGGTCCATCACATGTCCCTGCAGGGTGGTGAGGGAAAGGACCTCTGTGTCCCAGCCTGCCCTCCCCACTCCCACGGCCCAACCCAGGAAGCCAGGGAGGAGCCCATGTGCTCTGCAGGAAGTAAGCAGATGATAACCTAAAACATGATGCTCTGGCACAGTGACTGTTCTGAATTAAAAGCATTTATCAAAGCAGCAGACTCAAGATCACGCTGACCTGAAAAACAAATTAAATTCCTACGTGAAAGACACTCTGTGCCAAATGAATGGTGTCCTCATCGGCAAAGACACTAGACATCAAGGTCGTCAGAACTTGGTACAGAGCTCATTAAAAGGACTCTTTTCTGTTAAGCCTCTCCACATCATATAGCTGCTTTTCTACAACTTACTAGTCTGTGTCTAACTTAGTACATAAGATTTCACAGATTCTTTGGGTCTTCACTTCCTTATGAGGATTCCTGTGCCACAAAAAACTTGTGTTAAATACATTCCTATGCGTTTTTCCTGTTAATCTACCTTTTGTTTTACTTTTAGAGACAGAGTATCACTGTGGAATGCAGTGGCATGATCACAGCTCCCTGCATCATTGAATACCTGGGTTCAAGTGATCCTCCTGCCTTAGCCTACCAAAGTGCTGGGATTACAGGTGTGTGCCACTGCACCCAGCTCTGTTAATCTGTCTTATATCAACTGAATTCTCAGGCCCAGTCTAGGACCTAAAAGGGCAGAGGTAAGTTGTATTTCCCCTATACTGTAAAGCGCTCAGCTGCATGTGAAGACTGTCAATCTTCCATCTCTGATAGCCAAGGAGAAGGTAAATCTTTGAGTGTCTCTGCTGGGTCTACGGGTGTATCAGGCACATGACTGTTGGGACAGAACACATCTTTCCAGTGAATGTTCCTACTGCACCCTCTCAGCAACCCCAAGGCTGAAAGCCATCCCACCAGCCTTCAACTAGAATGTGCATACCTGCATTCTTTTTCTTTTTTTCTGAGTCTCACTCTGTTGCCCAGGTTGGAGTGAAGTGGCACGTTCATGGCCACCCCAGCATCAACCTGCTGGGCTCAGGCAATCCTTCTACCTCAGCCTATCAAGTAGCCGGAACTACAGGCATGTGCTACCATGCCTGGCTAATTTTTTGAAATATTGTAGGGACAAGGTCTCACCAAGTTGCCTAGGCTGGTCTCGAACCCCTGGGCTTTGGCAATCCTCTTGTCTCAGTCTCCCAAAGTGCTGGGATTACAGGCTTGAGCCACTGCACCCAGCCTCACATCTTCCATTTTTTAGTCAGTCTTCAACCAAGCCTCGAAAGCAGGAGAGCATGGCAGGATGCTACTCTGATTCAGAGGCAGCTTTGACCTGGCCCTGAGCCACTGCAAGTGACAGTCATGGTCACAAAAGGTTATTGCTTCTGTTGCTGAGAGAATGCAAATGGCAGCAGGATCCTGCAGGATGGCCAACGTGGCATGCTATGAACTCCGCCTTTAGAATTTAAAAGCTTCTCTCCTCTTAGTACCTCTACCACCATCCTCAAAATAGGTCCAATTAAAAGCCCCAATCTGCTTAAATTTGTGGGTAAAACAAGTCCCTTGTGTAACACAGGTTTACTGAAAGATTAGAGGTCCCCAAAGTCTTCCAGCACTACCTAAACTCAGGGGTTTGTACTGCTCTTAGAAGCAGGGACAAGTTCAGAGCACCCCCAAGGGCGGCATGGGCTGTCCAGGATCCAACTGGCATCGTGGGTCCAATTAGTCACCTGCCTTTCCCCATCTGAGGGTGGTCTGCACTTAAGGCCTCAGTGGAGCAGGCAAGGGTGCAGCCTTCCAGGGTTATTTTTAAGTGCTTTGTTTGTATATGTTAAAAAAGGGGGATAGAGAGCTTTTGAAACCTGGAGAAACCAGCACAGATTCTACTATATACAAGGAAAAAGTTACTAAGGAGAGTTTAAACTAGTGAATAGTTTAGTTAGTGAGAAAACAAAATTATCGTGGGATGTCCCCTTGGAATATGCTATGGACAGCACGGGAAGAAAGCAGCACTGCTATAGTTGAAATACGTGTGTCCCCCCTAAACAAACATGTTGAAATCACCTCCCAGGTGTAGTAGAAGGTAAGGCCTTAGGGAGATGAAAAGGTCATGAGGATGGAGCTTCATGGGTGGAATTTTTGTCCTTATAAAAGAACCCCAAAAGCTCCCTCACCAGAAGGCTGGTCCTCATTAGACACCGAATCTGCAAGTCCTCTGGGAACACTGATGGTTCTGTTAGGAAACACCGGGCTGCTCTCAGATCAGAACTAAGTGTACTACAGGAAGTCACAAATGTGCTTTTGAAAAAACGAAGTCAGATGCTGCAAATCACCTTGAGGTAAATGTGGGGAGAAAAAACAAATCACACTCACTCTGGCTAGATTCTACCTGGGAAAACCCACAAACACATCCTAGAAAAACACCCTGGGATTCATTCAAGTCCAGAGTCCCCTCCTACAACTAGTCAGCAATGCTCTTCAGTGGCCTGGCCTGCTTGGCCAGGTCTCTTTGTCTAGAGCCCTGAGACCCCGAGGCTTCCACATGCCTGGCCCTCCACTTGCCTTCCACACTGCAGCCGCTGACTCCGCCTGGCCATGCAGGTCCCGAGCATCGTTCAAGTCCTTTCTCATGATTTCCACAGACCCCTTGTTCTCCTAGAGGAAGAAGTTGGTTACTAGGGGTAGGTAGAACGTCTGGGTCCCCAGCTGTAGCCAGTCCTCAGTGACATCACCCCAGATGGTTGTACTAACAGTCTGTGCCAGAAATAACTAGGGAGCATATGTTCTTTGTCACACTACATACCTGTTCAGAAGGAACTGGGTGCCAGGGCTAAGGTGGCAGTCCAGGTGGGCTGTAGAATTCCATGTTCATAAGTGGACCCTGGTCAGTGTGAGCTCAGCCTATACCAAAGGCCTGCTCACCCTTCTAATCAGGAACCCTGATGGCAGGAGGAGCACTGAGTGGCAGTCTGGCGGGCTATCTGCTCTGAGATTGGGTAGGAGTACAGTCCCTGACCCTACCTCCCCGGTGTGCATGGGGGGTGAGCCCTGGCTCTGGGGACTTTAGAGATACCCAGCACTATCCCCAGAGCAAGAGGGTAAGGAGTAACAGTATCTGGCATCATGTGCACCTGTGGGCTTTTTCACTGGTACAGAAGGGTCAGGGGTATGGTCTTGGTATCCAGGGACCTTGCTTCCTATTCTCTCAGAAATAACACTGTGTTCTCTCACCAGTCACCCGTAGGTGCAACTATGGTCAGACTCTCAAGGCAGGTTTCTGCTCCACAGCTGGTGCTACTGGTGCTACATGTAATGGGTGAGAGAACAGCAAGGGAAGGTTCCAAAATGGGGTGGAATAAGGGACCCAGAGAGCAGCCAGATGCCGGCCCAGAGGCTTAGAGGGAAGGGAGGCCAGGCCCCAGAACACATACTGTACCCCAGAGGTTGACAGGCTCGTCCCCAGGGCAGAATCTCAGGGTTCCGTCAGCACGGGGGGAGGGGATGAAGGGGGGAGGGGAGGTATGGGAGAGGTAGGGGCAGCCCGACTAAGAGTGACA